CCTGCCGTCACCTCCTGCGTCTTCTCTTCGTGCTGTTGCTGAACCTCCGTCTAACCTTGCTCGTGCGTCCAGTCCGACTGTTACTCGCTTTCTTGCTACGATTGTGACGGTTCCTACGTTCTCGGCTCCTGCTGCGTCTGCCTTAGTCGCTGAGCTAGTTGACTTTGCTGCTGCGTACTGCCTAGACTACCTAGCGAGTCTCGTTTCTGACCCTGACCCTGCATGTCCTCCGTCCGTCAGGGGTGAGGTTGCCCTTGATTGTGACGTTCTTCAGGATAGGCAGGAGGAGCTGGAGTGCCTTGCGGCCGCTGTACCTCATCTCGCTACCATGCTTCTTGCCCCTGAGGGAGACCCGGATGCACTTAACATCCCCACCCCGCGCTCTTACAGAGAGGAGATCTCGGGTGAGTACTCCTCTCAGTGGCAGACAGCCATGGACGCAGAGATGGCTTTCTGGAAGTCCACAGGCACCTACGTCAACGAGGTTCCCCCTCCGGGGGCGAACATCGTCAGTGGCATGTGGATTTTCAGGGTGAAGCGGCCGCCGGGTTCTCCGCTTGCCTTCAAAGCACGTTACGTTGCTCGAGGCTTCAGGTAGCACAGCGCGACTACGAGCTGCACTCCCTCGAATTCTCGACAAATTCCTTGTAGGGTAGCCTTCATGAGGCCATCTGGCTGCGACGTCCAGAGGGCTTCACTGGGTCGTTTCCTGTAGGTACCCAGTGGAGCCTACGGTGGCCAGTGTACAGCCTTCGTCAGACACCCCGCAAGTGGCACGACACACTGAGGACGACACTTGCGGCTCTTGGTTTCGCTCCCTCGACCGCTGACCCGTCACTGTTTCTGCGCACTGACACTACTCTTCCGGCATTCTACATCCTCGTGTACGTCGACGACTTGGTCTTTGCTACAGCTGATACTGAGGCGCTGGCCCGTGTGAAGTCCGAGCTGCAGAAGAGACACACTTGCACTAACCTGGGTGAACTGCGGAGCTATCTTGGCTTGCAGATCACTCGGGACAGAGCAAGGCGCACAATCATGTTGACTCAGTCACACATGGTGCAGCAGGTCGTTCAGTGCTTCGGCTTCACCTTCTCCTCACCAAAGCCCACTCCTCTATCTACAGGCCACTCGCTTTCAGCTCCACCTTCGGACGAGTCCGTAGAGCCGAGTGGTCCGTACCCAGAGCTTGTGGGTTGCCTCATGTACCTGATGACGTGCACACGACCTGACCTCGCGTACCCTCTCAGCCTTCTGGCTCGCTACATGGCTCCCGGTAGACACTGAAAGGTGCACTGGGATGCTGCGAAGAGGGTACTGCGTTACTTGTGCAGTACATCGGGCATGGGGCTCATGCTTGGAGGACAGGGTTCAGTGGTACTCACAGGACACTCCGACGCTTCTTGGGCCGACGACCAGATGACTCAGTGTTCGTCACAGGCGTACACCTTCAGTCTTGGCTCTGGTTCTATCTCGTGGAGGTCCACTCGCTCGTCTTCGGTGCTTGGTTCCAACTGTGAGGCCGAGATCCACGCTAGGGCTATGGCTGCACAAGAGCTACGCTGGCTGACCTACTTGCTGACTGACTTAGGGGAGCAGCCTCGTTCTCCTCTAGTTCTGTACGTCGACAACAAGGCAATGCTTGCCTTGTGTTGTGAGCAGAGACTGGAGCACATAACGAAGCACATTGCTCTTCGCTACTTCTTTGCACGTGAGTTGCAGCAGCGTCGTCAGCTCTGCCTTTCCTACGTGGCCTCGTGGGCCAACACTACTAATGTGTTCACCAAGGCCCTTGGGTCTGGTGATCATCAGCGTTTCTGCACTGATCTTGGGCTTGTGCCCACTCTGCCTCACCTGCTTGACTTGGACTTGTTGTACACTGATATATATCTTTATACCTGCATGTTTACTCTTGCTATGTTGTAATCGGTGTAGTGCCTTATTATAACTCTGCATGTGAACTGGCCTTGTGGCCGCTTCCCTGTGCTCAGATTGTGTGGTGTCCTTGAGATCCACCTTGAGCTTTGCTTTGCTTTGATTGTTCTCTTGCTTGACTGGTCTTGTGACCATCTGATTGTCCCCCACTTAGCCTATGGGGGTGTGTCAAAATGCATTCTACTTGCTAGGCTTTAGTGGGCTACTTAGTACGGAGTACAACCCCACTGAGGGTTAGCCTATACAAATCTGTACTGTCCTCTTTCTAGTCATTCCTGCACAGTTCATTCTAACATTTTTTCGTTGACTTCTGAGGGCCTGGTCGTAACTGCACTGTGGCAATCCTGGTTTAGGGCATGTGAAGTTGCATTTAGGGAAAATATGCCTTAGGTAACCAACTTGGGACTCGATAACGTGAGTGGTAGTAACAAAACGGGTACGGTCACTGTATCGGGTTTTCTGACGGGTTTGGTAAGTGGGGTCACGGATTCAGTCACTAACAACATGTAAAAAATCACGTGAATGGTCACACATGTAACTCGCGCCAAAAAATCTTGGAACTCAACAAAATTCCCGCTCGCGTCCAACCAATCTGCTAACTTGAAAAAACAAAAACCCAATCAGAATCGGATGCGACTTGGGAATGGATCAACCCTAAACACCTGGCGAGTTACGTGTTTAGGGATGATTCATCCGAAAATGCATCCAGGTTCCTTTTGGGTTTCATTTTGTTTTGGCGGGAGTTTCATCTATGACTATTCACATTTTTTTTTACCAGTTGATAGTGACTGATTACGTGAAACGTTTTATCAGTCGCTTTGCAGTGACCGTACCCTTTATTTTTTAATAAATTTATCAATAATGTTATCGAGTCCCATGTTGGTGTTAGAAACCTAAGTTGACTTAGGACTTGGGTTGAGGGTAGAACGAGAGTTACGAGAGGAAGGGGTCGAGAGATTAGCCAAAAGAGGTTGTTCACTATAGAGCGAGCAGTACAAATAGGCAAGCATGAGAGTGCACCACCAAACAAGAACATAGAGCTACACTAGGTCTACACTACAGGCAGTTATAGTAATGTATACAAGTACATTCTGACACACCCCCTAACTGCCTGCAGTGAAGAACCATGTGCAGAAACACCCCCGGAAGGGGTACACCAAGCGCAGCGGAAGACGGTAGAGAGGAATGCGAGGAGGAGGAGACGAGAGAGAGAGAGAGGGGAGAGGAGAGGAATGAGGAGAGGAGGTGGGGGAGCCACGCGGCGAGCCCCTCTTACGAACCCCCGTTTTACGAAGGGGGGGGATGAGAGAGGGATGAGGAGAGGAGGTGGGGGAGCCACGCGGCGAGCCCCTCTTACGAACCCCCTGTTTACAAGGGGGGGTGGTGAGAGAGGGAGGAGAGGAGGTGGGGGAGAGCCTAGCGCGGCGAGCCCCTCTAACTAACCCCCTAATTCCACGCCCCCTTTCAGCCACCCCCCTTGTCAACCTCACCCCCCTTGTCAACCGCCCCTGGAACCTCACGTCTTCCCCCCACCCTTCCTCCAACGCCACCCCCTCACCCTCCCCCCTCCCCCCCTCCCCCCCACCCCAGGAGGGGCGACAGGAAGAGAGAGGAGGTGGGCTGGCGCATGCTGGTCATCCCTGCCACCCCCTCACCCTCCCCCCCACCCCACTGCAGTAGGAGTGGAGAGGTGGAGGGACGGCTGTTGGCGTGTCACACCCCCCACCCCCACACCCTCCCCCCACCCCTTTCACGGCTGCACCAGCAGCAGGGAGAGGGAGAAGGCTGGCGGCGGCGTAGCGCAGCAGCAGAGTGGCGTCAACCACCCCCGCCCCCCAACACCCTCCCCCCCCCCCTGGTGCACGAGCAGCAGTGAGAAAGGGGAAAAATGGCGGGCGAGGGTGCAGCAGGCGGCTGCAGTTGCGCGTGTGGCTGCAGCTGCAGGTGACGCTGCAGTCGCGCGAGAGGTTGCTGCTGCGCGTGCGGCTGCAGCTGCGCAATTCGCTGCAGTCGCGCGCGTGACTGGTGACGTGTGTGCAGCTGCGCGTTCGCGGTTGCGTGCGTGCGGCTGTGCGCACTGCGCACCGCTGGACGGGGACGGGACGGGCCGGGGCAGCGAGGGACGGACGGGCTGCGACGAGGGGGCCGAAACGGGGCCGCATCTGGCGCCATCGCGCAGCTCGCCGTCATGGGCAGCGTGACGGACGGAAGCTGCGCGACGGGCAGCACGAAGCAGGGATCGAATGGGGGCGAAGGCGCCATGCAGGAGCGAGAAAGTAACAGCGGTGGGCCCATGGACAACAGGTCTTAGGAGCTTAAGTGCTCTGATACCATGTTAGAAACCTAAGTTGACTTAGGACTTGGGTTGAGGGTAGAACGAGAGTTACGAGAGGAAGGGGTCGAGAGATTAGCCAAAAGAGGTTGTTCACTATAGAGCGAGCAGTACAAATAGGCAAGCATGAGAGTGCACCACCAAACAAGAACATAGAGCTACACTAGGTCTACACTACAGGCAGTTATAGTAATGTATACAAGTACATTCTGACAGTTGGTTAAGAATGGCATATTTTCCCTTGCATTTAGCACTATGGTGGGGCACTTTGGACAGGTATTTTGTACACTATGGTGGGGCACTTTGGACAGGTATTTTGTACAGTAAGTGAATTTGCTCACCATATCGCTGTGTCAGGGGTAACCAGATTGTCGCCAAGTTTTAGCGATTCCTCGAGAGCTTTCCAGGTTCGTCTTCACGCTGCTGGAACAACCAGTGGGGAAAATCGAAGAGAGATTTGTTTCTAGCGGATTCTGTCGGCCCCAGTCTAGGACCAGCCATTCCTTCCTTTCAAGCCGCGTGCGCTTCGCGAATGTCTTCTATACCGCGCGACGATGCGTTCTCACTCCAATATTTATGTCTTCTCTTTTGGCTCTAAGATTCGCCACTTGAAATCTGCTGTATCTTCCAAGCACACCAACAACATTCCTGGATCTTTGAAGCTATTGCCGCCAGTAGCACATTACCACAGCATTGCGACTCATCGTCTCATTCGCTAGCTGAAGTAGCAGTCATGGCGCTGGCGCTACTTTCTTCCAATCCGTTTGCCGATTCGATCTCTTCGTTAAGTGACTTTGATAATGTGACCTCCATGCTAGAAGACTTTCCAAGCGATCTCCTCAGCGACTCGCCGACTCTCCTCAGTCACTCGCTCCACAGTCATCCGCTTCGCAATCTCATTTCCATCGCTGGTAACCGGGGAACCCAAGCTCTTAGGGAGCTCGACAACGACTCGCTCGGCGTTCCCAAGGTTGCCGTTGAAGAGACTCCAGACGCGATTAAATTCGTCGCGACCGTTCCGGGCCTCGAGAAGAAGGATATGCAAGTGCAGGTGCGGGGGAAGGATGTTCTGACGATCACCGGCAAGCGGACCAGAGAGGAGAGAGACGGCGACGACAGCAACCGCGTTGTAAAGGAGTTCAGCAGCTTCAAGCGAAGCTTCCGATTGCCACGTGGCGTGACTACGAAAATGGTTACAGCAGTGGCGCGGAATGGCGTGCTCACCGTGACGGTTCCTAAAAAAACGTCTCCCAAGGAAACGTCTGGTCGTAGCGTTGCGAATCCAAACGCGAAGGCAAAAGCAAAGGGTAACGTTCAGACGCAAGGCGGGTTGAACGACGAGCAACGAGTGAGCAAGAAAAGGAAAGTCGTGCGCTTTGCCCCTGGTTGCTGAACCCATTGACGCTCCCAGCAAGAGCCCCGTGGTGGATCTCTAGTCTACTCCAGTGGCGGAGCTGTAACGTGAGGGCCACTTTTCACGTACGGGTAGTAGCACGGTCCATTATTCACATGTAATTAATTATACCATGAAAATATTTTCATACCAGTGATGTTTGATATGACGAACAGTAGTGGTGTTTGTTACAATAGTAACATACCGGTAACATCCATACAAGCTAACAGTTAATTCCTTCTGGGCGATGAAAGACGGATGCTGTTAGGGCAAGAAGGGTTCGTGGTGGGTGAAGTGAAGATGTGGCAGAGGTTGAGTTGTCTCCATGGAAGGGTGATGCCTCATGTGGGTGGCAGGAGCCAGCGGTGTGTAAAGATGCAGAGGAGGAGGCTAACGGCCTTTCTGAGGCGCCTCAGGAATCGGGGAGGTTGACACGTGTCATTTTATGAGTGGTGGGTGAAGATGCGCAGGTGGTTGTCGGCCCCGCCACTGACCACCGCATTGCCGCCTTGCCACCAGTCCGCACACAGTACCTGCCCACCCCAGGGGTGGGGGAGGTTATTGTATGAGGTAAGGGCATGAGGGACAGTCACACGTGTGCATGGTGACAGTAGATGGATGCCTGGTAATCGTGACATGCATCAGGCATGGGAGTCATGACATGCATACAAGAGAATCGTGACATGTGTGGATGTGTCTGGGTGATATGCCATGTGTGGGTGGTATGCCATGTGTGGGTGATATGCCATGTGTGGGTGGTATGCCATGTGTGGGTGGTATGCCATGTGTGGGTGGTATGCCATGTGTGGGTGGTATGCCATGTGTGGGTGGTATGCCATGTGTGGGTGGTATGCCATGTGTGGGTGGTATGCCATGTGTGGGTGGTATGCCATGTGTGGGTGGTATGCCATGTGTGGGTGGTATGCCATGTGTGGGTGGTATGCCATGTGTGGGTGGTATGCCATGTGTGGGTGGTATGCCATGTGTGGGTGGTATGCCATGTGTGGGTGGTATGCCATGTGTGGGTGGTATGCCATGTGTGGGTGGTATGCCATGCGTTGGTGGTATGCCATGTGTGGGTGGTATGCCATGTGTGGGTGAAAAGCCATCAGCGCACAACACATGAATGGATGTTCCTGATGGAAACCCCTGGTGTCACACGATGAATGGTCCATCCATCCACACCTTGCAGCATGATGGCACACGAATGGAGTGGGTTGCAAAAAGAGCACACAAAGAGCTACGAAACCAACGTACCTTATCCGAGTGGGCTTTGACCGTGTGAAGGGGCACCTGCATATTCAAGTGAGGCACAGCGGCAAGAGGCACGTATGATCGTGCATGTGTCATATTTGATATCATGCTTGCATGCGACTTTTCAGGCGCCTCAAAATGAGCCCAGGAATGCGAATACGTGTGTCACATCTGGCATCATGGTTGCCTTGCATGTGATGCCAGGGACTTGCACTTGGAAACACACACGACTGGCACCAGTGGGTCGATATTGAGGTGGTGAATAATCGGCATGTGCATGACAGCTGACAGTGGTGCATGCAATGACTAGTGGCATGATGGGATGGGATGAGCCCAGGCCAGGCATTATAACGATCCTTTTGCATGGCGACCCAGACATTAGGATTGGGCGGACGAGAAGGCACATACGGTTGAAGAGAAAGAGAATATTCCCGGGGAAAGGAGCGGGAGACGGGGAAGCGAGGAGGGAGAGGAAGAGAGGAGGAAAGGGAGGGGGGACGGGGGAGCGGCAACATACAGTGGAGCGGAGGTCCCAAATCTTGAGTGAGCCGTCGTAGGAGGAGGAGAGGAGATGCAGTGGGTTAGATGGGGACCTGTAGAGAGGCAGTAAGATAGCATGGCAGTGGGATAGAAGAGTTTGACTGGATCAGGAAGGGAGAAGCAACCATGGAGAATGGCACGTGACCAGCATGGGAGATGACGGAATGGGAGATGAAGGCAGGGAATCTAAAAGCATAAAAACTCATAAAATCATTTCAGCCATGCTTTTCAATATATATATGTATATTATTTCATTGCTTGGTTAAAAAAAAAAAAAAAACCGAATGCTATTCATGAATAAGGAAGGGTAATTCCCCAACTGGCAAAGAAGGCTAAATGACTAAATGCTCCTTCCCACGTTACCATGCGAGGGAGGAGATCCAATCCGTGTGGCCCAGCAGCTGGATCGACGGGGAGAGCACGGCTGGTGGTGGGAAGAGAGGGGGGAAGAGGAGAGGGGGGAAGAGGAGAGGGGGGAAGAGGAGAGGGGGGAGGATTGAGCAAATTAAGGGTCGAGGGTTCAGTGCGGCCCAGAGGTTGCATCGACGGGGAGAGCACGGCTGGCGGAGGGGGGCGAGAGGCAGCGAGCAGGAAGCGAGGAGCATGGGCGGCATGGGACAAGGGGCATAAGGCATGGGACTTGGGGTGGTAAACGCGAGGGTATAGGTTGACAGAAGTTGGAAGCCCAGGAGACGGGACGTGAAAGAGGTTGCCGATACCGCGGAGCTTCGGAGCAAGTGAATTGACTCCTCACACCCCAGTCTCACACCCCACTCTCACACCCCACTCACATTAGTCTCCCACCACACTCACATCACATCACAGTCATGCCTCATTCTCACACCCATCTCCACACCACACTCACAAATGGCCCGCACACCACCCATACCCTCACATCTCACTCACACGTGGCAGCGCGCATGTCCCACAGCAGCATGGTGGGGTGCGCGCCCCCCACTGCCACCAGCGATGCCATCCCACCACCCCCTGCCGCCACTGCCAGCAGCGGATGGGCACTGGTCTGCCATGAGAGAGGGGGGGCACATGGGGATGGCAGGCGGCAGAGGGCAGAGGGCGGGCAAAGGAGATGGCGCAAGTGATGGGAGAAGGAAGAGGCAGGATGAACGGGGGTACACACGGGAAGGATCGGCGCCTCCCTGCACACGAGACGCACAGCGCATCATACTGCTCGCACACACACACGCGCACAGATGCACACACACACACATACATACACACGCGCACACATGCACACACACATGCACACACACACACATGCACACACACATGCACACACACGCACACATGCACACACACATGCACACACACGCACACACACACACACACATACACACACACACACACACGCACACACACACACACACACACACACACACACACCCACCACGCACACACCATGCACCAGCACGATAGCAGCAGCATTACCCACTAGGCTATCTGCACACACCACGCCCACCACCCACCCGCACGGTGACAGAGGCAGCAGCTCGAACATCCCAGAAGCACAGGGAGTGGTCCCACGACACGGCGGAGAAGAGTCATGGTTACCCTGTATCCACACGACTGACAGACAGCCCATGGTGATGCTCCTACCCGCACGGTGACAGAGGCAACAGCTTGAACATCCCAGACACGCAGGGAGTGGTCCCACGACACGGAGCAGATCACCGAGGGAACGCTGATGCCCACTCACTACCTGCCTACCCGCACACACCCAGCACGCCACACACACACCACACGCGACCTACCCGCACAGACACAGCAGTTGCAGCATCCACGTCCCATGCGCGCAGCGAGTGGTCCCACGAGACAAAGAAGAGTATAGAGTGAATGCTGGTGCATGCATTATACCTGCCCAGGCTACCCCACCCCGCACACCACGCACACTACCCACCCGCACAGACACAGCAGAAGCAGCGTCCACGTCCCATGCACGCAGCGAGTGGTCCCACGAGACTGAGAAGAGTGAGGAGCCCTGCGCCGGCCATGCGACGCCCGCCACGCACTGCGTGTGCGCGTCTAGGGAGAGGTCTGGGGTGAGCTGGTGCGGGATGAAGCAGGAAGACATGGGGGAAAGAGAAAGGAGCGAGGCGTGAGGAGAAGGCAAATTGCAATGAGCCATGCGCTGGCCATGCCAGGCCCGCCACGCACTGCATGGAGAGAGGGAGAGAGGGGGGCGGGGCGACAGAGTGGAGTGAAGGAAAGCCCAGTTGCAAGGAACAAGCCATGTCACGCACTGCGTGTGCTGCTTTAGAGAGGGGTCTGGGGCAAGGAGTCACAACTGAGTACGAATGAAGCAACACTTCATGCCATGCCATGGCATGCTGCAGCCGGCATGCATAGAAACAGGCTTCCTAACAATGACTTGTGCAGCATGCAGCAGCCAGCATGCAGCGTGCAGCGTGCAGCGTGCCGTGCAGCAACCAGCAGCCAGCACTGGAGAGAATTGAACACTGAGCATCAGGAATGGAAGGCAAGGCGCATGTGAGTGTGCGTACCTCCACGCCCTCTGCCCCAACTGCCCCTGCAGCAGGCAGCAGGCAGCAGGCAGCAGGCAGCATCAAGAAAATGAACTGTCAGCAACGACCATGAAAGGCAAGGCGCATGTGAGTGTGCATACCTCCACGCCCTCTGCCTCAACTGCCCCTGCAGCCGTCCGCACTCGCTTCCGTGCTTGCCCCACTCCCTCCGCCCCTCCCGCTTCTCCCCCCTCCTCTTCCCCCTCTCCTCCCGCCTCTTCTCCCATTCCCCCACTCCCATCACCACCCGCACTCCCATCCTCCCCCCTTCCCCGCCCCCCTGCAATGCTTCCCAGCTTCGGCAGAGTCCACAGCTTGATGGAGCTGTCCCAGCCGCCTGATGCCAGCTGTGAGGATGGAAAGAGAGGTTAGAGGAGAGACAGTGAGATACGGTAGGGGAGGGAGGAGGAGGCAGAGTCCAGACCTTGATGGAGCTGTCCCAGCCGCCTGATGGCAGCTGGGAGGATGGAAAGAGAGGTTAGAGGAGAGACAGTGAGATACGGTAGGGGAGGGAGGAGGAGGCAGAGTCCAGACCTTGATGGAGCTGTCCCAGCCGCCTGATGCCAGCTGGGAGGATGGAAAGAGAGGTTAGAGGAGAGACAGTGAGATACGGTAGGGGAGGGAGGAGGAGGCAGAGTCCAGACCTTGATGGAGCTGTCCCAGCCGCCTGATGCCAGCTGGGAGGATGGAAAGAGAGGTTAGAGGAGAGACAGTGAGATACGGTAGGGGAGGGAGGAGGAGGCAGAGTCCAGACCTTGATGGAGCTGTCCAAGCCGCCTGATGGCAGCTGGGAGGATGGGGAGAGAGGTTAGAGGAGATACAGCAGGAGATACAGTGACATCAGGAGGCAGGAGATACAGTGACATCAGGAGGCAGGAGATACAGTGACATCAGGAGGCAGGAGATACAGTGACATCAGGAGGCAGGAGATACAGTGACATCAGGAGGCAGGAGAGACAGTGACATCAGGAGGCAGGAGATACAGTGACATCAGGAGGCAGGAGATACAGTGACATCAGGAGGCAGGAGATACAGTGACATCAGGAGGCAGGAGATACAGTGACATCAGGAGGCAGGAGATACAGTGACATCAGGAGGCAGGAGATACAGTGACATCAGGAGGCAGGAGATACAGTGACATCAGGAGGCAGGAGATACAGTGACATCAGGAGGCAGGAGATACAGTGACATCAGGAGGCAGGAGATACAGTGACATCAGGAGGCAGGAGAGCGGGGAGGTGAGAGAAAAGAGCCCGGGGGGAAAGTGGGATTAGAAAGAGGTGGATAGAGGAGGCAGAGTCCAGAGCTTGATGGAGCCGCCCCAGCCGCCTGATGCCAGCTGTGATGTGATGGGGGAAGAGGAGGCAGCGAGCAGAGCTTGACGGTGCCCCCCTGATGATGGAAGGAGGAGACAGGAGGATGGAAAGAGAGGTTAGAGGAGAGACTGTGAGGTACGGTAGGGGAGGGCGGAGGAGGTAGCGATGAGAGCTTGACGGTGCTGTCCCAGCCACCTCGTGCCAGCAGTGATGTGGAGACGGGAGGGCAGAGGAGAAGCAACAGCATGAGCTTAGATGAGGGAGGAGAAGCGAGAAGCAACAGCAAGCCTTGTAAGAGTAAATGTTCAGAACTTACACAATTATAGAATATGAGGAATGCTGTACTGAATAGGCCTCGATGCTGTATGGCGTGCGTGATGAGTGTGCTACGACCAGCAACGACGTCTATCAATAGCACATGATGCATGTGCATGAAGTCAAGTCAAATAGCATGTGACGTGACATGAGTGTGTGTGTGTGACATACTTTATGCGTGCATCATGCAAAACATGTGACACTCACCGTATCCATCAGTGTGCACCTTCACAGCAACACACTGCACTGCACTGCACTGCACTGCACTGCACGGCAGCAGTGGAGTGGTTGGTTGCGCATCCCCGCCTCCACCATGAGCGCATGGCACGGCAGCATGTCATGCACATCATGCACATCATGCACATGTGACATGTGTTTGTGTTTATATAAATGTGCATAAAAAGCACACCGTACCTTATTGGCGCGTGCGTTCATGCCAGCGCACTGCACGGCAGCAGAATGGCCTCGCATCACTGCCACCACCGATGCGCGCAGCGAGGGAGGGGCGGTGGACGCCTCGGTGTTGTCTGCCGCCAGCTGGCAGAGAGGAAGGGAGGGAGAGCGGAGAGGGCGTGGGAGAGGGAGTGGGAGAGGTGGGGGTAAGAGGGAGGAAGGCCAACGGGGAGCAGAGCAGAGCAGGGCTGTTGTGGTGAGAGCAGGCGAGGCGGCGAGAGAGGCGGGCTATTGCTGCTTCCAGTTGGCAAAAAAGGGCGTGCGGGAGGGGAGAGGGGCGTGTGGGAGAGGAGAGGGGCGTGTGGGAGGGGAGAGGGGCGTGTGGGAGGGGAGAGGGGCGTGTGGGAGGGGAGAGGGGCGTGTGGGAGGGGAGAGGGGCGTGTGGGAGGGGAGAGGGGCGTGTGGGAGGGGAGAGGGGCGTGTGGGAGAGGAGAGGGGCGTGTGGGAGAGGAGAGGGGCGTGTGGGAGGGGAGAGGGGCGTGTGGGAGGGGAGAGGGGCGCGTGGGGAAAGCCAGCAACAGCAGCAGCGAGAACCACAGGCTTCCTTTCCTCATCGGCACACAGTAGTCACATTTGAGAAATGTGATTGAAATCAAATGGTACCATACCCAAGGCGCAGCAGAAGAAAGAATCCACCTGCCAGACAAGAGGGGGAAGAGGGAGGCACCCACCTGCCAGAGGCGCAGCGTGCGGTCCTTGGAAGCCGATACAAAGGCGCTACCTGCTGCCATGGGACCGTGGGTTGACAAGGAAAGGGGGAAGGGGGGAGCAGGGGAGAGGAGAGGAAGGGCGGAAATGGGGGGGAGATATGTAAGTGGGTTATGAAAGATGAGAAGAGAATGGAGACGCTGTCGAAAGGTTAGTGCTGATAGGCAAGGTGAGACGGATGTTGAGAAAAGAGAAACAAAGGTTGGTCATTCATGGCAGCGCATGAACTACAAACTGAGTGATGCATCATATGTGCCATCCAGTGGGTTCTTCCGTACGAGATCACACGTGACTGGCAGCTTGCACGTGACTGGCAGCACGCACACGACTGGCAGCACGCACACGACTGGCAGCACGCTCACGACTGGCAGCACGCACACGACTGGCAGCACGCTCACGACTGGCAGCACGCACGTGACTGCCAGCATGCACATGGTGTGGTACCTACCTGGCAGGGCGGCGATGTGAGTGACGACATCAGAGTGTGCCGCTGCCACCTGAATGCACCTCGCACTGCTGCTACCCCCATCAGCAGCATCCGCTGCATGGGCAGCATGAGCAGTGGCATCAGCTGGGGTGGCCGCAGCAGCGGAGGTAGGAGGCACGGAGAAGAGGCTGCAGGCGGCAGAGACAGACAGAGGAGAGAGAGCGAAGGGGGAGAGAGAAGGGAAAGGTGAGGGAGGGAGGAGGGACAAGGCTGAGAAGACATGAAATGAAATGAAAGAGGCAGAATCACCTGGTCCTTCGAGGCAAGGCTCTCACATCCGCTCCGCGCCACTCTCTCACTTGCTGCCCCTCAACAGTGCCTTGTATGCACGGCGCTACTATGCTGCATAACCCCGGCTGACAGACAGCTGTGCCACACACACACGTGCCCTGCTGCACATGGAGTCATGCCATGCCATGACGTGCCGTGCCGTGCCATGCCGTGCCATGCCGTGCCATGTTGTGCCATGTTGTGCCATACCAAGCCTACCTGCCTGCCACTTCTCACTCACCGCACGTGCGAGTCATAGGAGCCGGTCACAATCACACTGCAGCATGCAACAGTTCACAGGACGGTGGGGGAAGAGGGGGGAAGACGGGGAAGGGGGAGCGGGGGGCCAAGATGAGTCATAGGAGCCGGTCACGACAACCCTGCAGCATGCAACAGCGGGTGGGATGATGCAGTGGGGGGGACGGGGGGTGGGGGGAAGAAGGGAGAGCGGGCGGGGTGAGGTAGGCTGGGCAGGGTGAGGCTATGGCCCTGCTTGTGGGATGAAAGGGGACTGTGTGGATGTTTGCAGCTTAGCTTGACTCCAGTGGGGAGAGAGAGCGGGTTGCCGGAAAAGGGGGGAAAGGGGAAAGGAAAAAGCAGCTAGACGGTAAGAACCTCGTGTGGCAAAGGCGTGAGGCGCAGGAGAGAGGTCAATATCGATCTAGAGCACAATGAACGGGAGAACACAGTGGCACACACACACCAGAGAAGATACTGAGTGGCACGTACAGGGTGCACGGGGAGAGAGAGGACACACCAAGTCATCACAACAGCCAGAATCTACTGGAGAAAAGCACCTGCCAGCTGATGAGGCAAAACCTGGAACAAAACCTGAAACAAAACCTGAAACGAAATCGGGCAGGCATTTCACCTGGCAGGGAATTCACGTGGCAGGGAATTCACCTGGGTTGGGAATTCACCAGGGTTGGGAATTCACCTGGGTTGGGAATTCACCTGGGTTGGGCGGCAGAGACAGCAGAGACCCAATCGTCATGAGGAGCAGAGTGGGAGGCGGAGGGCGGGCGCACTGCTAGTGTGTACTCGATGGGAATCACCCGCTCCTGCCGTGATGGGGTGGGGGTGGGGAGGGGAGGTGCGTGCATCAGGGGCGAGGCTGCATGAGTGGGAGTGTGTACTCGATCAGAATGAGGCGGAAGGTGGGCACCGGGCGGGCGCATTGCGAGTGGCCGTGATGTGGGGGGGATGAGCGGGCAGGCCACTCATCATGAACGGAGTGGATGAAACATCATGGCACGTGGATGAAACATCATGGCATGCATGGTGTGCATTTTGGGATGCACGGATGCATCGAAGAATCACCGTGGAGAGTGCTGACGTCAGCAGGCACTTGCGCAGGGAGGATCGCAGCAGCCGTCCATCCACAATGAAATCGAACGGCTGCGGTGCGTCTGAGCGGATTAAGGGGAAGGGGAAAGTTGCATTATTAGATTGCCTCTGTCAGCCGGCCATCCACGCTTGGATCCAATGGCTCTGGTGAGTTCCAAAAGGGGAGAGTATAAGGAAGGCGAACGGATGGAGGAGAGGGACGATCCAAGGGGGGAACGAAGAGGATTGAAGGGAGAGGCGTGGCCTGGCTGTTGCTAAAGGGTTCTACCAAAAGTTCAGGGGATAGTACCATGCGGGAGCAACCGGCGTGGTCTAAGAGAAGATATGGCAAAAATGAAATAAAATCAGCTAGGGTTTTACATTTAGGCAGCGGGGTTCGGGTTTAAAGGGCTAGGGTTCGAGGTCTAGAGGCATGGGGTTGAGGAGATAGACGGCATGTTGCACCGAGAGGGCACGGAACGAAAGGAACTCGGAGAATCTGAGGGATTTCGGGTGACTAAGGGGGGAGACGAGGGTTTGACGAGACCAGAGAGTTGGGCGCCCATGATTTGAGGCGATGAGTGGAGACAGGAATGGGCGAGAACGGCATTGATAGGGCTGACGAGGGGGAACGCGCGATGAGCCTGACAAGTTATTTGTGATGATATACTTCGCCGTTACGTGGTAACAATATCGTTCGCTAGATTCTGTTGCGTTTGCCGCAGCTAGGGGCGCCTCTATGGCTTCGCGATCCAACCAAGAGCACGCGATTTCAGCGTTGCGTGGTAACTTAATCGCTCGCTAGATCCTGTCGTCGATGGCATTACCGCGGCCTAGCAGCGTGTTGATCACTTCGGACAGGCCGTAGCGCGTGAGTCTGACGGGCACCGTGAACGGCGTTGACGGAACCGTCAGGTGCGCCGGCAGTCGCGTCGTGAAGCGAACCTGCACCTGACGGTCGTCCGTACCGGCCGCTACCGGCGCCATTTTCCGCGGAGGGGATTACGTGGCACGAGTGAGATACACCTAGTTCAGTAGGGTGTGAAACTATGTCAAGAAATGGCAGGGACGAAGGTATGGAGGGTGTGAAAGGCGGGAGCAGTTTGTCCCCGACGGTGATGAATGCGTTTGAAGAGAGAGCGCTAAGGGAATAAGTACTTGTTATAAGATGGCAAACAACATGAAACCAGAAAAACATAGTGAATGAACTTGAGGAAGAAATGCACGAGCTTGTGGCGAGAAGCGCGAGAACATGCACCTCGTGATTACAGAGTAATCCAAGTTCGTCGAGATTCGGTTGGGGTAGTTACTGATCGTGGGTGTCGCTAATGAACCCTCGCCTGACGCAACTTGTCGATCGCATTTGTTTAAGTCGGATCGTGGCGTTCGATCGGGTCAGTGTATACGACATTTTTGGGTCTCCCCCCTTGTAGGATCGCCTTCGATCGACACGATCGGAGGAGAACCGCACACCGCACTCATCAGCAGCAACCAAAAAGGCAGGCCATTTGAGGGTTGCAAAAAAGCATCGTGGACACCTAGGTGTCAAAATTGTTAAGTTGTCTTGTCGATCCATCATCAATCACCTCGCCGCCTCAACCGAGTTTTAGTCAAGCTCACACGTACGCGAGTCGCAACCTAGGGAGTCACACTCAAACGACTCAAAAATCTAACGAGTCCCGCGAATGCGAGCCCCACTCGAGCGAGTCGCCGTCACGCCTCCCGCGAGTCGCCGCGCGCACTGATGCTCTTTCCTGGCGGGCTCATGCGGGTGGGCGGCCGCCACCTGCGCGGCAGCAAGCTGCTGCCGCTGCTGCAGCGCCGCCTCGCGCTCGCCGTGGGGACGAACAGCTTCAGCCGCCAGGTGGTGGCGCTGGCGGCGGTGCTGTGCGCGCTGCTGGCGCTGAACATCCTCTTCTATCTCTTCGGTGGCATCTCCATCGAGTTTGTCACCGACGACCCGCTCCCCGACCTCCCCTCGCTCTGGCGCGGCGACGCGCAGCCGCCCCCGCGCGGGCGGCAGTGCGCGGCGTGGCTGGCGGAGGTGGACCCCACGGGCACGGGGAGCGAGCAGCGCGACTGGCAGCGCCAGCCCGTGGTGGTGGCGGCGGGGGAGAACAGGCGCGTGCAGGGCTGCGCCGTCGGCTGCCTCTTCACGCGCGCCCCTCGTGAGCCCCCTTTGCCTCTCCACCCATCCTGACCGCTCTTCACCGTCGTGAGCGCGCTTTGTCCTTGAATAATGACTCTGAAAAACCGCATGTCCAGGCAGGTGAGAGAAAATCCGTGCATGGGAACTAAATCCTGGAAAACGCCGAGATGGGGGAGGGGAGCGGGGAGAGAGAGGGGCCGGTGGAGAGGAAGGGGGACCGGGGGGGGGAGGGGCCGATCCTCGCCCCTCTCTCCTCGGCCCTCTCCTTTCTCTCCTTTCCCGTCGCCCCTCTCCCCTCTCCAATCTCCCCTCTCCCCTCTTCCTTCGCCCCTCTCCCTTCGCCCCACTTCAAACTCACCTCTCCCATCACCCCTCTCCCCCATCCCCCCTCCGATCTCCCCTCTCCCCCATCCCCCCCTCACCTCTCCCGTCTCCCCGTCTCCCCTCTCCCCCCTCCCCTCTTCCCTCTCCCCTCTCCCCTCTCAGCTCCCATGTGACCCACTTCAAACTCCACCCTCCCCGTCCCTTCACCCCTCCCCTTTCCTCTCCCCTCGGCCCTCCCCTTTCCCCTCCCTTCACCCCTCCTCTTTCCTCTCCCCTCGCCCCACTCAGCGGACCACGACACCTGCGACGCCGCTGTGGTGACGGCGGGAGGGAAGGGGGGGGGTGTGGGTGCCGTGACAAGCAGCCTCCTCAGCTCCCATGTGACCCTCTTCAAACTCCACCCTCCCCCCTCCCTCCGCCCCTTCCCTCTCCTCTCCCTTCGCCCCTTACCTTTCCTCTCCCCTCTCCCCCCTCCCCTCCCCTCGCCACTCAGCGGATCACGACACCTGCGATGCCGCTGTGGTAGCCCCACCAGCACCAGAAGCAGGGGAGGCGGGCAGTGGAGCAGAGGAGGGGGAGGGGGGAGGGCAGGCAGCGCCGCCGGGGGTGGCGGAGGAGGGGGCGGGGGCGTGTGGGTACGCGGTGGTGTGGCAGCGCGGGCCAAGGGGCGCCGTGGTCATGCCCAACGCCTCCAGAGTCGTGGCCGTCACCAGCAGCCTCAGCTCCGACGTGCCCCTTGGTACGTACCTCCCATGTCGTGCCATGCGCCCCTGGGTAGGCGCTGACGCCGTGCCATGCGTAGTGATGCGCTGTTTTCTTGCGACCAGGATGCCATGTAATGCCAGCCAGGTCCCCCATTCCATGATGCCATGTAATGTGCCCCCTGCCATCGTGCCATGTAATCTGACGCTTGTGACAAGCCATGTGCCCTGTGTCAGTGTATCCTGGTCAACGTGCAAAAAAACGACGTTTTTTCTCAAAAATTGTCCGTAAAATACCGTATCGTAAAAATAATCAAGAAATAACGATTTTAACAAAATACTTCATTTTTGTGCAAAAAAACCATCGTTTTTTTCAATAAAATCATCAAAACTGCTGCTGTAACAAGGGGATTGTTTGGTGAGTAGAACGAGGGGGCTGTTAGAAGTGCTGCTGATGTACGAGGAGATGGTTAGAATTGTTATTTTGTTCAACACAACATCCTTGAAGTTGAGGTTTTTTGTTTTTTTTTGTTTTTTGTCTAACAAAAAAACGTCGTTTTTCCCCCAAAAGGTACCGTACAAAACCGTCAGAAAAAACCATCGTATTTTTCGACAATCGTTTTTTTCCACCTTGATCCTGGTGACTCACTCCGCTCTCCTTGCACTTTCTGCCAATCGGCATGGCATGGCATGGAATGCAATGGGATGGCATGGTATGGCATGGCATGTTATGGTATGTTGTGCCACGAAATGGCATGGCACGGCATGGCATGGCATGGCATGGCATGGCATGGCATGGCATGGCATGGCATGGCACGGCACGGCATGGCATGACATGGCACGGCACGGCATGGCACGGCATGGCATGGCACGGCATGGCATGGCATGGCATGGCACGGCACGGCCCGGCATGGCCCGGCATGGCATGGCATGGCATGGCATGGCACGGCACGGCACTGCATGACTTGGCGTGACGTGCCATGCAGGGCAGCCATCATGGAGGGACCATGCATTCATGGACCCGCCCACACCCAAGCATGCGTCGCCCGCCATCGTGGCCGTGTTCAACCACCCCTGCTCCAGCCTCCAACTCAAGTCAGTCCATCTGATGGTCTCCATCGCTCTCCTTTCCTGCCGCCGCCTGCCTGCAGCATTATCATTGCCGCTTCTTGTGTGTCGCCTCTTCGATGGAAGAAAACTCAACTTAATTCAATACACTAAGGAATATCTAGGCGGAAGAGGCATCTCCCTCTCATCTCTCTCCCCATCCCCACTTCTAACTCTCGCTACCTCCCCTCTGTCTCACCGTACCAACCCCATCGCTTGCCACCTGTCCTCCCTCCAACCAGGCAGGGGGTGCCTGCAGCTACTCAGCTCATGCCTGCCCGCCACCCACTGGGCCACGCCTCGCCGGCTGAGCTGCATTTCGAGTCGACTCAAAGCACTACCTCCCTCTGTCTCGCTCCTATCAACCCACTCACTCCCCACCCGCCCTTCCAACGAGGCAGGACTTCATAGCACAGGTGGAGTGGCAGGGGGTGCCAGCGCAGTGCAGCTGCTCGGCCCCTGCCTGCCCGCCAACCACCCCTTTCCCTTTCCCTTCTAAATCCCCCCCCTCCTTCTCTACCTCCCTCTGCCCCCCATTCCTGCGTACCCACTCACTCGCACAACCTGCCCTTGCAACCACCAGGCAGGACTTCATAGCACAGGTGGAGCGCCAGGGGGTGCCCGTGCAGACGCTGGGTCCCTGCCTGCCTGCCTCCGACCCAGGCCACGCCTCGCCAGCCGAGGTGCAGCGCCGGCTGTGCGACCACCGCTTTGCACTGCTGTTTGAGGAGCTGGCACCGCTGCACGTCATGTCGCCGCACTTCTGGGCTGCGCTGGCGTGTGGCACCGTGCCCGTCGTGGTGGCCAAGGGCAGCATCGCCCTCTTCTCCCCCGCTGACAACGCCTTCCTGCAGGTGCTTCCCTCATCATTACTAAATCTAAAAAGCCAACAGTGTCTCAGTCCTTCCTGCACGTGTCTGACTTTCCTCCCCTCCCTCCCTCCCTCCCTCCTTCGCACACCTGGGCAGGTGGGGCGGGGGGACGAGGTGCGGCAGGTGGGGGAGTGGGCAGGGTACCTGCAGCAGTCGCAGCGGGCCTACAGCGACATGACGCGGTGGAAGGCCGACGTGCCCTCCGATGCCTTCCTCGCCCTCCTCGACCTCTCCATCGTCCCGCCCCACTGCCGCCTCTGCATCCACCTCGCCACCAAGGTGTGTCCCTCGCCACCAAGGTGTGTCCCTCGCCACCAAGGTGTGTCCCTCGCCACCAAGGTGTGTCCCTCGCCACCAAGGTGTGTCCCTCGCCACCAAGGTGTGTCCCTCGCCACCAAGGTGTGTCCCTCGCCACCAAGGTGTGTCCCTCGCCACCAAGGTGTGTCCCTCGCCACCAAGGTGTGTCCCTCGCCACCAAGGTGTGTCCCTCGCCACCAAGGTATGTCCCTCGCCACCAAGGTGTGTCCCTCGCCACCAAGGTGTGTCCCTCGCCACCAAGGTGTGTCCCTCGCCACACATTGTGCCGCACCACGGTGTAAACATAGACCGCACGCATTATGTCTTCTTTTATTGCTCGTCATCCATCTCTTGGTTTCTTTCCCTGTCGCTCTGCTGTCTTCCCTGTCGCTCTGCTGTCTTCCCTGTCGCTCTGCTGTCTTCCCTGTCGCTCTGCTGTCTTCCCTGTCGCTCTGCTGTTAGCCATGCAGGCCTGAACGTCTTCTCCAACTCACTGCTGTGAGCCTGTTTTCTCATTTCATATGGGCATCATGGCAATGGCGCTGGGGACATGGTTTTGGGCACATGATATTGGGCACATGATATTGGGCACATGATATTGGGCACATAACACAACATTCTCCACATGAATGGCAGCAACTAGTGGCGTGGGATGAGAGCAGCACACGGAAGGTGTGTCGGTGCTGGGAGGAGGCGTCCAACACCACTCTCTACCACCTCTACGTGCGCGAGCGCGGCACCTTCTCCTTCCACTCCCTCTTCCTCAAGTAAGCTCCTCCATCTCCCTCTCCCTCTCCACCATCCTCCCTCTCCACCATCCCCACCCTCTCCACCATCCCCACCATCCCCCGTGCCCACTATCTCCCCTCACCTGTTTCGGCAGCGTCTTTCTCAAGCACAAACGCTAAGAACGCTCACTGCCACATTAGCAGCCTAGCTCACACAGTGAGCATATATGCATACATGCATGCATCACACGCAGGACATGTATGGAATAGTCTCATGTATCCTTAACGAGGGCCACTTCTTTGTGTGTGATTCTCTTATGTGCTGTGCTTGTTGCCTCCTAATCAAATGCTCATTCTCTTTTTTCCCTAGCCTCAACTTTCCCCCTTTTTTCACCCCCCTCATTCCTGCCACTCCCCCCCTGCAAGTCTTCAGAGCTCACCATGGCGCACCTCATGCAGGCCATCTACCGCCTCTACCACCACATGGTTTCCCCCCTTTCCTCCCCCACTCCCTCCACCCGCCCACTCCCGCCACCCCCCCGCACAGGTCATCAGAGCTCACCATGGCGCACCTAGTACCGCCTCTACCACCACATGGGTCCCCTCCCTTCACCCGCCCACTCCTTCCACACCCCTCCCCCACCCTCCCCCCGCCCGCCACCCCCCTGCACAGGTCATCGGAGCTCACCATGGCGCACCTAGTACGGGCCATCTACCGCCTCTACCACCGCCTCGACTACCGCCCGCTCTGGCACGGCCACCGCCCCGACGCGCTGGCAGCAGGCGGGGCAGCAGCGGTGCGCGTGCTGCGCGTGTACCCGGTGGAGTCGTCGCAGGAGATGGTGCTGCACGGCTCGGGCGCCTTCCGCCGCGACCGCCAGCTGCAGGACTTCGTAGAGGCCACGCCATGCCCGCGCCTTGAAGTCATCCTCGTCTGATGCGCCTTGGAGTCATCCTCATGTGATGCTCATTGCTGAAAGAGCTGCCTTGTGAGACGACTCAAAGGGCTTTCCGTCGCATCCGCCAGCTGCAGGCCTTTGTGGAGGCCACGCCGTGCCGGCGCCGTGAAGTCATTCTCGTGTGAGGCCCTCAGATAGGTTTGACGGCATGCTGATGGATCAGCGTGCCCTGCCCAAACTCCTGTCCAGATCAGCGATGAAGTTTAACTTTATACTGATTTTGCCAGTGTTATTTTCCGGGGCTAACTGATTTCTCAGTGTAAACATAAACATTAAACTGGCACATCAGTGCTCCTTGCGCTCGCTGGGCCGCCTCTCCTTTGTGCTACTCCAAATCACTACCACCTTCTCCCAATCCATGTCGTAATCCAGCAGGCTCAACTCCATCAAGTCGCCCAACTTGATCTTACAGAGGCTCGTCCTCCGCCAACTTTTAATCACATTCTGGCGGGAGAACTCGCGTTCGCACTCGACTGTGCTGATGGGAAGCACAGCCACTGCAGTCCATAGTCGGACGAGGTTGGGGTAGCTGCGAAACCAGTCGCCTGTCCCCAAGATGGCCGACAGGCCGGCATGAACGTTTGCGCCTCCTTGGGAGCGGAGGCGAGAACAGGCAACAACGTGCGCAGCTCCGCACGAGCAGCCTTCTTTTCGACACCTGCCACACACAGACAGAGAAGGCGTAGGTGTTTTTAGACGCACAAGCAGCATAAGAGTGTTAAACGGGACACGGGGGAGCTAAGGAATTCTCACCAGGTAAGATCGCCTGTCCCTCCCTGGCTTGGAAGAGGTGGATGAGGCCGTGCAGGTATGTCTTGCAGTCTGTGTCTCTCGCCTCCACGCCCCTCGGCCATGTGGGGGGCATGAAGAGCTTCGCCTCGTTCAAGCACATGAGGTCCCCCAAGCGCAGCTCGATGTTGTAAATAAGTTCGCGCACGAAGGAGCGGCATGTGGTAATGCACCCTTGCATATCGCCGTGGCTCGTGGTGTATCCGAGCAGAGACTCCTCGTGTAGGGTGAAGTGATGCACGCAGGGCTGACCATCACTGTCCACGCCTTCCACTGTCAATTCACGGCTGCAGGGCACGCCGTGAAAGCTGACAACAGCGTGATGGCTCCTCCGCCAAACTGTTGTCCGCATTCAATGTACCGCTGCTCAATGAAGATGACGTGCGTCGTACTTGTGAGTTGACACCAGTGAGGCCAACCTAATGTAGTTGGGGGCACAAATTAGAAACAACAATGAGTAACATGCTGATGTAGTTGGGGGCACAGATAAGAAACAACAACAATGAGTAACATGAAAGAGAACTACAGCATTAAGAACCAGAACAACAGCTCATCTCTCGTCGCTGCCTACATTGCCTGCGCTGCCTGCAGCCGCCCTGCCCGCGCCGCCTGCAACTGTGCTGCCCGTATTGCCTTTGCGCTGCCCGCTGCTGCGCTGCTTTGAGCGCTGCCCACGCACTGCCAGCTCGCCACGCGCTGCTCTACCGCCCTGCAGCGCCCTGCCCTACGTGCTGCCCTGCACCGCCTGCGCGCGCCCTGCCTTTGCTGCCCCTCCTGCCCAGCACTGTCGCCGGTGCTGCTGCCCTGTCTAGCGCGGCCGCCTGCTGCCGCTGCCTGCCCACTGCCCTGCCTGTGCCGCTGCTGCCGCCGCCGCCGCCGCCGCCGCCGCCGCCGCCGCTGCTGCTGCTGCTGCTACTGCTACTGCTGCTACTGCCTGCTATGGCTACCATTACTGTCCTTACCTTTGACGCGGAGGGTCACCCGATTCAGTTTGAATCCTGGCTAGAGGATCTCCAGCTGTACCTGCAGAGCGTAGCTAGGGACGACGCCTCACTGTTAGAGCATACGTCCGGGTCCCTTCCCGCCCCAGAGGAGACAGCTGGCCGTGTAGCTCGTTCGCAGTGGCTCACGCGCGATGCTACTGCCCGCCTTGCTGTCTCCAACCACCTCCCGCTAGATGAGAGGCCCCATTTTGGCCAGCTTAAGACGGCCAAAGAGCTCAATGACGCCGTAGTCACTCGCTACTCCTCCCCCTCTACTGCTGCCCTAGGTCGTCTCATGCTGCCGTATCTCTTTCCTGGGCTGTCAGACTTCCACACCATCGCTGATCTTATGACCCACTTCGCTCTAGTAACACTCGCTACCGTGCTGCTCTTAAGCTGGCCTTTCTGACTGCGAACTCGCCCCCGATGTACATCACTCTTTACTTCCTCGTCACTTGCCTCCTTGACTCTCTCCGCGCCGTTAGGGATCACTTCCTCTCCCTCGACCCCACTGAGCTCACGCTTGCCACTCTTGAGACTCGTCTCCTCGAGGCTGAGACCAGTGCCGTCGCTGTAGCTGCCTCTCGTGGCACTCCCCGCTCCTCCTTTTTTTAGGGGTGTTCTCCCTCCCTTCCCGCGCCCTTTGTTGCCTCTACTGCTGCTGTTGACTTCCTTCGTGCTGAGGAGGTCGGTGCTGCGTCTGCTCCTAGTGGGAGGCGCCGAAGTGGCAAGAGGTGGTGGAGGTGGCGCTGGCGGGGGTGGTGACGGTGGTGGTGGCGGGGGTGGAGGAGGTGGTGGTGGCGGTGGAGGTGGCTGTCAGAATGTTATAGTGCTTACTTTGTGTAGGCTATAGTGGGGTAGCCCATAAGGGGTACAACCCAATTAGGGTTAGTACTTGTACCAAATTTCTGCTCAATGCAATTCATTCTCGTTCGTTACTTTGACAGTGGCGGGGGTGGTGGAGGCGGTGGGGTGGGCGGAGGGGGTTCGGGTGGCGGTCGAGGTGGAGCTGGTAGGGGTGGAGGCTCTGGGGCGGCGTCTGGGGGTGCAGATCGTGGTGGCGGCGGCTCTGGAGGTAGACAGCAGCAGCAACCACGCAGACAGGAGACTCTCACGCCTGAGCAGCTTCGTGAATGGGTTGTCCAGCGTGGCTCTGGGGGTAGTGGTCGTTGCCCGTATGTCCAGCGCACAGGTTCACGGGCTGGTGAGCCCTGCGGCAAGATGGGGCACATTGGGTATCGCTGCTTCTTCCGTCTCGACGATGCCTTCCGCAATGAGTACGGTGACGAGAATGAGATCTTTAACTGGTTAGGATTGCTTGGAAAGGGGGTAGATGTGTTTGCGCTTGATTGGGACAAGATCAATGCTGGCATGTATGCTATGTATATTGCTAGTGAGCAGGGTGACTATTACTCGTGTGTACCTACTGCTGCTAGTGTGCGGCTGCTAGTCTAGGTGCATGTGAGCCTGGCAGCACAGGTGCAGCTCCTGTCGAGGCTTTGCACACCTTCACATTTGACTCAGGCGCGTCTCGCTGCTTCTTCCGCGACTGCACCACAGTCACACCGCTCACTGCACCTGTCCCGATGACTCTGGGTGACCCCTGTGGGGGCCCAGTCGTAGCACGTGCCTCTACCATTCTACTGTGTTCGGCGGACCCTTCCGGCTCACTCACAGATCTCCACCTCCCCTCGTTCACTATGAACTTGGTGAGTAACTCTGTGCTCCAGGACCTGTTGGTCACTACCACTACTCCTGGGGGTGAGCTTGTGGTGATCTTTATGGACTCACGGACTGGCACCCACATCACCACATTCACTCAGAGACCCGTGTCCGGCCTGTTCACACTGACCACTGAGTCCGCACAGGTAGCTACGTCTGTCCAGTTAGCTGCGTCTTGCTCGTGTCGGTTACTCACACACCTGTCTCTCCTCTGGCACCACCGTCTTGGTCACCCCTCCCTGCCCGTCTGCATGGCATGCACCCATCTCCTTGTCTCTTGCCTCCCCAGGTCCCTGCCCCCGCTCCCGCGCTTGCCTGCACCGCCGTGCCTTCCCTGCGTCGAGGGGCGGCAGCGCACCGCTCCTCACTCCTCCTCGTTGCCTCCGACTACTGCTGCTCTACAGACTCTCCACATTGACGTGTGGGGCCCCGCCCGTGTCACTGGACAGGGCCGAGAGCACTACTTTCTACTGGTTGTTGACGACTACACGTGCTACACTACAATCTTCCCCTTGCAGAGCAAGCAGATGTCCGCATTGTCTTGATCCCTTGGATCCGCACTGTCCGTCGCCAGTTGAGCGCAGGGTTCTAGCACGACCTCCAGGTCCTGCGATTGCACTTTGACAGAGATGGTGAGTTTTCCTCCCGCCTCCTTGAGGACTTTTTGTCAAACTTATATTCCATAGTCTGTTTAGGCTGTAGTAGGGTAGTTCTTACAGGGTACAACACTTTTAGGTTTCCCATATGTACCCACCTGCTTTCTAGTTCCATCATTCATTCGCTCACATTCTAACATGGTATTCTGAGCAGGTTCCCTAGTGGGAACGTTTTTTAAGGGCCCACCACTAGATTTTTTTTTCCTGCCCTGCCCGAAGCGCGCATCGCGCCTTCCCAATCGCGGCCCCTAGCCAGTCGCGGCCCCTAGCCCGTCGCGGCCCCTAGCCCGTCGCGGCGTCTAGCCCGTCGCGGCCCCTAGCCCATCGCGGCCCCCAACAACTGGCGCGCCCCTGCCGGCCCCTGCTGACGCGCCCCTGCCGGCCCCTACTGACGCGCCCCTGCTGGCGCGCCCCTGCCGGCCCCTGCTGACGCGCCCCTGCTGACGCGCCCCTGCCGGCCCCTGCTGACGCGCCCCTGCTGACGCGCCCCTGCCGGCCCCTGCTGACGCGCCCCTGCCGGCCCTTGCTGACGCACCCCTGCTGGCGCGCCCCTGCCGGCCCCTGCTGACGCGCCCCTGCCGGCCCCTGCTGACGCGCCCCTGCCGGCCCCTGCTGGCGCGCCCCTGCCGGCCCCTGCTGGCGCGCCCCTGCTGACGCGCCCCTGCCGGCCCCTGCTGACGCGCCCCTGCCGGCCCCTGCTGGCGCGGCCCCTGCTGGCGCGCCCCCCTACTGGCGTGGCCCCTGCAGTCGCGCCCCCCCCCTGCCGTCGCCACCCCTGCTGGCGCGGCTCCTTCTGGCGCGGCCCCTGCTGTCGCGGCCCGCCCCTGCA